CCTCCTGCAAGCCATCATTTTTCCTCCCCTTTTACTAAAGTTGCTCAATGATTATCATCATTTCTCCTTTCTTGATTGTCCAGCTATTAGTACACTTCCCAACTTGTCTTATGTTCTACAACTTAAATGTCTTTATATAGTGGAAATTTTCTTCCAAAACTGTCTCCCAAAATCTCAGATACTGGGTTCAGCAAATTCTTAGGTTAAACTTTGGACAAGATATAAGAGAGGTAATTACAGTTAGTAAAAACTGCAAACCAAAAGAATAAATTATTTACAACCTTGCAAAGGGATTTTATTGCTTTCTCTATGTATTAAAAGTAGATATCTTAACCTCTGCATGAACAAGAGGAAACATGTCTACAAATTCAACAACCATCTTTATGTAATTAATGATATGGAATATCATCTTTCCAAACCCTCTTTCTTCTAGAGTGGTCAATATATTATCTAGGCAACTTCATTTTGCAGCAGGAGAATGGAGGCCAAAAGTTTGTTTTCTGTGCTTCTCCATAATTAACTAATTTTTGAGGTAACGAGGTATATTTGAGAATTCACTTTCTTATTTTATGGGAGGGGGGGTCCTCTCTATATCAAGCCATAAATCAGGAGTATTTTTATCAGTAAAATAATGACAATTTTTTGGACAAGTTAATCATATTAATGTTTGTTTATTAACTAACTGCACAAGGCCGCCACAAAAGCCAACCTGGTAGTCTTGCTATCAGTGGGAAGCTCTCCCTGTCCCCCACCTGTTGGGTTTCTTGCAATGTCAAGAGAAAAGGAATTTTCTAAGACTAGCATCAGAAAATTAGTGGTATTTATTTGAGTGAAATTAAATCCCAGAGTTTCCAAGGTCCCCTCTTCCTCTGTTCACCAAGGAAGAAGTCCAGCTGTGTCTTCAGTCGAGCTAGGATTAAAGCCGTTGCCCAGCCGAAACCGGTTTGGCTGAGTGGATAGAGCATCGGCCTGCAGACTGAAAGGTCCCAGGTTCGATTCCGGTCAAGGGCATGTACCTGGGTTGCGGGCACATCCCCAGTGGGAGATGTGCGGGAGGCAGCTGATCGATGTTTCTCTCTCATCGATGTTTCTAACTCTCTATCTCTCTCCCTTCCTCTCTGTAAAAAATCAATAAAATATATATTTTTAAAAAAAAAAAAAAGCCGTTGCCCAGAGTTTCCACTCCATGTTAGAGCACAGTGCAGCCCAGCATCAGGCCAGCTTAACTTATGTTCCAAGCTGTAGTTCATTCTGTGTTGGGTCAGCACGGCCATGGGCCACGCGACTTCTAGGACCACATAACTATGAGGGCATACAGGCAAGTGCAAGGAAGCAGGAGCAAAGCCAGAGGAACAGAGAGCAACCAGAGAGAGAGAAAATATTCCTTTGTTTGTGTATTCCCAAATTTTGCAGGCTTGCATTGGCTCCACCTCTCTAGCAAATATTAATCTTTGTTCTCAGATTTGATTGACAGGCAAGTGCCTTCCCAATTTTACTGCACATACATGCTCCATCTTCCCCTTCCCCCAGTGATCTGCAGAGAATGGACTGGTGGTTCCCTGGGGAGTGTAAAGTTGCAGCTTCCTGCCCAGCCTGTGTGGCTCAATGGTTAAACGTCTACCTATGAACCAGGAGGTCAAGGTTCAATTCCTGGTCATAGCACATGCCTGGATTGTGGGCTCAATCCCCAGTAGGCGGTGTGCAGGAAGCAGCTGAACAATTTTTCTCTCTCATTATTGATGTTTCTATCTCTCTCTCCCTCTCCCTTCCTCTCTGAAATCAATAAAAATATATATTATTAATAACTAGCTAATTAGAACAGTAACAGTCTGAGACCAACAGTCTGACTTACTAAGGCAAATTTATCTATCTAGCCTAGTGGTTATCAGCCTTTTTTTCATTATTACTCCCTCTAAGGAGAAAACTTAATTTAATTTAATGACTATCTAACCAGAAAAATTAAATACCAAGGAATAAGATTTTGTCAAATAGGGTTGAGCTTGGAGGGCCACAGACCATTGTCATGTCTAAGATAGGTTTGCCCTCCAAGAACCAATATTTGCCCCTTTCAGGGCAATATCACTCCAGGTAGACTACATGCTCTGACATGCCTGATTTCATATATCCAAATGATTAACTGATCCAACCTCAATGTATGCATAAATTTATATTAGAACTTACCTCCCTGTTCTGTAATTACATTTTTACTCATCTGCCTCCCCATCAGCTTGGAAGCTTCTCAAGAAAATTTTTGAAGTCCAAAAAAAAGAACTTAAAAGTGTTGACTAAATTAATGAACATCTGAATGAATGAATGAAATATAAAGCTGATTACTAAAACAATTATGGAGCCAGTGTTTCCTTAATAGCTCTGCCTTTTTATTACTTGACTCACTGACCCGAGTTTCAAACATGAAAGATATCTCCAGGTGCTACCCCAGACAAGGGACTAGTGTGAAAAAGTACTCAGGATTTTCAGATACACACAAGGTTTTGCCCACTTTTTTTGGAGGAGGACAGGTGCAGTAGGTGGTGACAGAGACTTGATGCTTGTTTGATGTCTTTGTGACCACTTCTCCACCAGACACAATATGGTATGGGAAGTAGTAATTATGTTGTCTCAAAGTGGCATTGCAAATTTACTTACAAAAATTAACACTTTAACCTTTCTCACTGTTGTGCCAGGCAGGACTTGTTGCTAATAGTGATGGCCAAAAGCAGGGCTAATGGCCCAGGCAAGGCAGAGCAAAGCTCTGTGCAATTAGAAGGGAGGATATCCCTAAGGAAACTGGGGGAAGGGGAGGAGAGGGGAGGCAGGAGGGCAGGGCGGGGGGGGGGGGGGGGGACTTCAGAAGGCCACTCCTGGCAGACCCTGAAATCCCACAGGATGCAGGGAGACTCAGCAGGAAGAACCCAATCATCTCCAATGATTCAACCATCACAGTCCCTCTACCTCATGCTCACCAGATCCATCACTACCCACATCCCAAAACAACCACTCAGCTAAACTTCAATCAATTTTAGTGATTACTGCTAGAGAGTTATTTAGTTATAGGAGGTACTAGTATGAATAAGAAACAGCATATTACAACAAAAACTGCCATATTCTTGCAGCATTTTAACATTCACGTGTTTTCATAAGTGGATCAAATTTTATCTTCACCACACTGTGAACAATATAGACTAGGCAGTTATTAGCTGCATTTTATAGATAAGAAAGCTGAGGGCAATGGCTTGCCCTTGATCACAATGGCTGAAAGTCCTAAGGCAGAGCATTCTCCATTCTAGTGTCCCATGTCCCAGATCAGGCATTGCCAGTTACTCACCAGTGACCTAACATATGTTAATTACCCTCTCTCAGCCTTGGTTCCTTTATTTAATAAATAAAGATACCAACAATGGCACCTGTCTCAAAGGATTGTTGTGAGTTTAAAGGGAGTAAAGTCCATAAGGCACTGAACATAGTAATTGACAAAAGATAAGAGCTAAAAAACGATAATTATTAGTATTAGGACCCAAATTTGGATATGAAATATTAAGCATTGTATGCAAAGCCAAAATGACATTACTTTAACAATTCTCAAGGGAACAGGACAATATTCTCCTTAGAGATAAAGTCATAAGACAAAATAATCCCATTAAAGAAATATAAAATATCTTCCTTTGAAACATTCTAATGGACTATTATTCAGCCTTAAAAAAAAAAAAAAGGTGGGGGGAATTTTGCCATTTGCAACAACATGGATGAACTGGAGAACATTATGCTAAGTGAAATAAGCTAGAGACAGAAAAACAAATGCTGCATGAGCTCACTCATATGTGCAATCTAATATAGTTGATTCACAGAAGCAAAAGGCAGAATGGTAGGTTGCCAGGGGCTGGAAGGAGGAGAAAATGGGGAAGTATTAGTCAAAAGCTACAAAGTTTCAGTTACACAAGATGAATTCGTTCTTGAGATCTAATGCACAGCATGGTGACTACAGTTAGCAATACTTTATTGCAGGGGTCCTCAAACTTCGGCCCACGGGCCACATGCGGCCCCCGAAGACATTTATCCAGACCGCCGTGTGTTTTTGCCGCCACTATGTGCATAGGAATTTGTTCATAGTTTTTTTTTAAGCTATAGTCCGGCCCTCCAATGGTCTGAGGGACAGTGAACTGGCCCCCTGTTTAAAAAGTTTGAGGACCCCTGCTGTATTGTATACTTGAAATTTGCTAAGAGGGTAGATCTTACCTATTGCCACAAAAAAAAAAAAAAAATCAAGGTGCCTGGCCAGCATGGCTCAGTGGTAAAGCATCAACCTATGAATCAGGAGGTCACAGTTTGATTCTCTGTCAGGTTACATGCCTGAGTTGCAGACTCAATCCCCAGTATGGGGTGTGCAGGAGGCAGCTGATCGGTGATTCTCTCTCATCGTTGATGTTTCTAGCTCTCTTTCCATCTCATTTACTCTCTGAAATCAATAAAAATATTTTTTTAAAATTAAGGTAACTATGTGAGGTGATGGATATGTTAATTAGCTTGAGTGTGCTAATTATTGCACTATATACATATATCTCAAAACATCAAGTCATACAACTTGAATATATGCAATTCCTATTTGTCAATTATCTCTCTATATAAAAGCCAAGCAACCGGAATGACCAGAACTACCGGTCACTATGAGGCACACTGCAGCCAGCCAACTGGCCCTATGGGGACAGGACCAGCCGGCCAACCTCCCACAACCCCTTGCCCCCTCCCCCTGCCCCAGCGGGCTGGACCCTACCCATGCACAAATTTGTGCTGGAAGAAGAAAAAAGCATATTCTTTATACAATGACTTTCACCAGTAGACCTCGCATCTCTTCTCCTAAACTCCATTAATAATGAAGAATCTGGAAGGTGAAAAATTAAAACATTTTCCAAAATTTGATAGGAAGCCATTTGCCCAGCCATGTAAAACAAGACATTTACACACATACACACACACACACACACACACACACACACACACACACATCAAGATGTAAGCTTCATTTTATCTGTTTTGTTTGTTTGCTTTGTCCCCATTGCCGAGAACAGTTACTGTACATAGCAAGTTCCCAAACAATATTTGTTGGATATTGAAAGTATGGAGGACATGGGCATCTCAGTCCATTTCCAGATGTGTTCAAGTAGATGGTCCATTGAGTTATTTAACTTTGTGTTATTGGCCATTTAATCGTTCACTTATTCAACACACACACCTATTAAGCACCTACTATGTGCCAGGCGCTAGGCTGGGTGCTGAGCATAGAAATGATGCTTGAAATAGAATACGCTCTCTTGCTTTAAGAGTTCACAGTCTGACGCATGGAGAGGAAGGAAAAAGCAATCACATCCTCCAGGTTGTGAAGGACAATGAACTTGCTGTCTCCCTTGTTCTTCTAGGCACTTTCATTGGGTTCCTTTCTCTGTATGAATTCTGAGGACATTGAAGTCAGTAACAAGCATTCTGTTGTGAAAGAAAAGAAGCAAGGGGGCATTTCGTTTTTATTTTCACTCTGATACACCCGTTTCTACACCTGTACGTTTTCTGGTTGGGCTGTTGCTGCTGTGGCTGAACTGTAGTTGTTCTGTCCGGTGAAACAGCCAGTAGCCAACCCGGATCGGACATAATGGTGCCACGCTGGACTGGGCCTCCAACCACATTAGCCATAGGCCGCATTGTTGCTGCCGCTGCTGTTATTTTAATTATGATTGTACCTTAACCACCACCTTCCTTCCTCTGCCTCCCTTCAGCTGCAGTGATGTATGTTACTTTTTGGTAACTGGATTTCATTAACATTTATGAACTCTCATAAAGTAGTAGAAAAAGCAATTTGTGTGGAAGAATTTTCCACCTCATTAAACAGTGTTCTTTTGGGGGTCAAGCTGATATTTTTTTGTTGGATTTTTTTATAGGTCCTTTGTCCTTCTCTGAGCCCTGGGGGATGAAAGGAGAGCGGTCCGCACTTGGCGGGGCTCGTGAGCCCTGTAGAGGGCGCTAGACCGAGCGCGGGCCTCTTGCTAGCTTCCCCCAGGCTTTATCCGCCAACTTTCAGACTCCCCAAGTCCCGGGTATCCGCTCTGAGTTGCTCGGGCCTTCTCCCTCCTTGACCAAGTCTGCCTTAGCACCTGCGGACAGTGTCTCCTGGCTAAGGAGAGGTGCGGCCGGTCCCCGGGTCTGCATGCAGCTCACACCTGGGGCCTACGCGGGTGCTCCGGGCCTTCTCCTAGGCGAGGGCACCCCCGCGCCTGGGGAGAGCGGTCCCTGGGTCGCCCTTCCACGCCCCCGTGGCGCGAGCGCACTGGCGCCCCCCACGAGCCTCGGCCTCTGAGGCAGACAGGCTCCAGCCCAGGGCGAAAGGCCTGGGGGAGGTGAGAGGAGAGACCTGAATGGCGAGGCCCGGCTCGGTCTTTTGAAGCTTAGTTGCATCTTCCAGCCACGTCTCCGGGCCCCAGCAGATAGGGATCGTTTTCACTTCGGGACTCAGCCACGGAGGCCTCCGTCTCGCTGAGGGCGACGCCTCTCCTCCTCCCCAGCCGCCTCCCAGATCCCGCATCCACCCTCCACCCTCCAGGCTTGGGCCCGGGACGAACCCGAGGACGCGCTGGAGCCCCTGACGGGGCCGAGGGGGAGCGACGCCGCAGAGCAGCCTCCCGGCTGTCCTAGGGCACTGGGGGGTGGGGGGGGAGGAGAAGGGGGCCGCGAGGGCGCTGGGCCCCGGTTAGAGACGCGCTCCGTCCCCAGCTGCCCAGCACTCCCTCCGGCTCCTGGGGAAGAAGGGAACGGGCCTGGGGGACTTGACACTTGGGGGAGTAAAGCGGAAACCCGAAGAGGCCACAGAAACCAGGTGGCAGGTGCTGGGGAACTAACATTAAGGACCGCCTTTCTCCATTCTGCATGTAAACCTGCAAAGCTAGAGCTCAGCCCCGAGAACCTACCTTGGTTAGAAAACTAAACTCGACTCTCCAAGAAACCGGTCATTCGGTCCCTGGGATACGTTTTTCTGCCAGACAACTCCCACGTCAGCAGCGTGTAAGGCAGGGACGCTAAGGCCTGCTAGCAGGTGGCCCGGCAGGAGCCGCGCCGTCCGGCCGCGGAGAGGCGGTTCCCCGCGGGTGCGCACGGTCCCGGGCGCTTCCGATGTGCTGAGTCAGCGCGGCTGCCGCGGGCTCGGCGGTTCCCGACACACTGCGCTTCGCTGGCTGGTGTGTCGACTGGGTGGTGTAATTATTGTTTTGTTTTCTAATATGTAATTACTCTTTGTCGTCGCTACTATGAATCCGCCGAGCCTGACTGGAGCAGCAAGACGGATGCAAGTTTGGGGTTAGGATTCCGCGCGTGGGAAACAGTCGCCCCGCGCGCAGGACAGCAGCCCGCGTGTCTGTCTCCTCGCGGCCTCGCCAGGAAGAGGGCCTGCGGCTCCCTCGCTGGCCAGAGGCCCTTGAGCCTGTTCCTTGCGGCAGACCCACCCTCAGCCATTGCTGGGGCTCGCTCTCCTCCTTAGCATATTTGTAAAGAGGGTGGACGACGGAGGGGGAGGGATAGAGTGGGGGAGAGATCCCCTCTTGTTTTCAAATGCTCCTTCTAGTATTTAAAAAGAGATACTGGAAGTTCCCTCCATTTCCCACTTGTTTTCCCTCTCCCTGCTTTCGCAAATCCCCCCACCCCACCCCAAGGGGCCGCCTAGTTCCCACACGAGCCCCCCCGCTCACAGCCGGGCTCTCACAGTAGGATCTGCCCCCGACGGAGCGACCCGTCGCGCCTCCCGGGCGGTGCCACACTTGGAGGCCCGGGCAGGGCCAGAACAAAGAACTGACGCCGCCAGCGGCTCAGGGGGTGGCGGAGCTCCCTGGGCCCCGCCCGCACAGTCCGACCCCTCCTCCGAGATATCCCACCCCCGCAGCCCCCCACCTTCGCGGGCGGAAGTTCAGGACTGGGATGGGCACCCCGGGACCCTCCCGGCTTCAGCTCGCCCCGGCCGGCCCGCCGCCCCCTGAGGCCTGCGGGCATTGGAGCGGTCTGCGGGGGGGACCGGCTGCCCGCGGCGGGGCGGTGGGGTCCCTGGCCGAGGAAAGCGATCCATTTTCTCTAACCATTTGCCCAAGAGCTGTCAGGTTAGCGCTGCCTCCTCGGCCGCCCAGAGAAGGACGCGTTAACATTCTCCGCACGGGAGTCTCCCCAGACCCAAGTACCGCCCCGTGGCGCTCACTGCGCCCACGGCCGGTCCCTAACCCCGGCCACCTTCTCCCACTGAAATATGCACATCGCTCTTCAATAATTTAGACACCTGGGAGACTGGACACGTATAATTTTTTTTCCAAACACGGGAGCATCCGGGTTGCCATCAATCATGCTTTTGTTTTATGTGAGATGGGCTTTGTGTGTTTAGCTGCCCGGCTCCCTCCTATTTGCATGCGGCTATTTAATGGGCATTTATTTTGGCTTTGAAGATCTGCTCAAAAATCTAAACCCAGAAAAGGGGGAGGGCGCCCCCCTCGTGGTTCGGACGGGTTTGTGGGGGAGGGTGGGGCTTCCTTTGAGGAGCTGGGCCCCGCGGGTCTCGATTACAGATGAATTTTGATTCCGAGGTGGGACCCGTCATGGAAAGGAAAGGATATGTTCTTTTTCCTAAATCTCAGGGTTTCTTTCTAGCAAACAATGCTCCAGTCAGTATTTGTGTATGTAATTGTGCTCCAAATGCTTAAATAAATCATTGATGGGTGAAATTACACATGCTCACTTAAAGTGTAATGTGATTAAGAGATTATGAGATTGAGGCTAATATCTTGTCTCCCAGCTCCTGGCCCCAAATCTTGACACCAGAAATTTATCAACTGCAACTGTCCTGAAATGTACAGATACAAAAGATTTCTATTGAAGACGAATCAAAGACAGCCTCTAAAAGACAAAAATGTGTATGTGTGTGTCTGTACTGTACTGGTCGCAATGTTATTATAAAAGAACATGAGAAGGGAAGAGAAAAAGACTGATACGATAAGGAGAGGGTATTGGTTTTATCTTTTATTTTTTAAAAAGTCAGTGGCAAGGGGCGGGGGACCGTGGCGGGAGCTACGTCTGCGAGCTGATTACTCCGCGTCTGCAACCCGCTCCATTCCCCGCACCGTGGGTAAATCCTTTATCGGGGGAAGCCCCGGCCTCGCCCGCAGCCATCCTTCGCCTCGAGGCGCGCGCTGGGCCGGGGCGCGGGAGCCGCTCGGCGGCTCGGTAATGACCCGGGTTCGCCGCAGCTGCGCCCTGACCCTTTGTGATGGCGCCGATAGCGCTCGGATGAAATTATGTCCTTCTCCGGGTGTGAAATTACCATGTTTATTAATTGAGCCAGACATTAGCTTTACCTTTTCTTTTTAAGCCGTGAAAATTTGTGATTCAGGGCAAATGATTCTCCGACAGACGCTTCGCTTCGCATCACCCCCCCCCTCCCCTCCAGGCCGCCCCCTCCCCTCCCCGAGCTCCCCTTCCCCCACGGCCCAGGCAGCTCTGGAAAGCTTTCTAGGTCTCGGTGCTGGAGAGCCCTCGGAGGGAGCAGAGCGAGCGGGCCTCTGAGGGTGCGAGCGCGCGTGTGTGCCAGTGCGCACGCGGGGTTTTCCTCCTCGGCAACTGTTGCCAGACAATGTAACAACCCCCGGCTCTGAATTACAGCATTTCCCCCAGAATTCTTGATCAGTAAACCCCAAATCGTTTTCAAGACAAAGAAGCACCCATCAGCGACAAAGACAGATTTAACGTATTAAATCTTTATTGAAGTGAAGTCATTCTTATTGAAATGATGTATTGGGTGTGCAGAAAGATTGGGGGGGTTTTGTTGTTGTGTTTTACGATGCTTAAGATAGAGATGGTGGCGGAGAACCCGCGCTGCGCCTCGCCCTTATTGTTCTGAGCAGGGGGTGGATTACTGGAGCTCTGCCCAGGCTCCCGGGTCAGGGAACACGCCTTGGACTTCGAAGAGAGGCTGACCCCCTCCCTCCTGATGGCCCCCACTTTGATTTCCCGAAGAACAAGCGTCCCGGGCCTTCTCAGCAACTTCCCGCCTTAGTCACTGCAGTAGGGAAACTGATGCGCAAGTAAGGCTACCCACCAAGTCTCGAAGTCAGCCACTCCGGGAGCCTAGAGAGAGAAAGGAACACCCAGGGTATCTCCTGGTCTTCAGGAACAACTTGAGTTCTCTTGATAGTTTAAAGAAAATCCTTGTGCCCCGGGTCTGAAGGAGAAGGGGAGCGTGTGTTTGCTCCCCGCCGTCTCCCCAGTCCGCCTTCCTCCTGGCAGGACTGGAGGCAGGAGCTGACCGCCTTCAGGCTTGGGATGGGCTTTCAATGAAATTGGCCCTTCGGACCTCGAGTCCTGTCAACTTCGGGGAACCAGGACCAGGGTGGGTTCAGAGACGAGTTCTCAGTCCCAGGGAGAGGCTGCCCAGAGTTTTCAGCATCGCGTCTTAAAAAGGCTCAAATTCTTATCTCCTCTGAAAGGGAGGGGCGGGGGTCTAAAACCCTCGGCTGCTTCCAAGAATGGCAGCCACACTTTAACAAGATGCATTTGTTTCTCCACCTTCAGACACACAGACATCCACACCGACTGAAAGTGAACTGTTGGAATCAATTTCCTTGGAATACTCAACTTTTTTTTTTTCTATCATATTTCAGCAATGGAACGCTCTAGCCAGTTGATTCAATTTAGTATTTGCATAACCAGGAGAAGAAGGTGGCTCTGCAGCCTCCATGAATAGGTCTCTTGTTTGTTGTGGGGTTGGACTTTTAAATTCGCAGTGGTGGAGGAGGGCAATGGGGAAGGCACCTCCAGGGCTGGGTTGCTGCCCCAGGAGTCAAAAACAGAGAAGTCGCTGCTGGATGGTGACAGGGTATTGTTCCCTCACTCCTCCAGTTTCTTGCATCCATCCATAGCCTCTACTTTGGAATATTCACTAATTGGATCCTTCTTTCATTTGTTCCAGGCAGTCCTGCTTCTAAAGATAAATTCCTTTGGTAGATGGTTTGAATTCGGTGTCAGGAGAGATGGCAATGTTGTTTTATAGTCTGTTCATAGGAAAGGAATGAGCTGATTTTGAGGGCAGTCTTCAGAAATAGAGCCAGTTTTAATAGGATCCCAACTAGTGCACTAATTAAATATTTCACAGCTCCCAAAGTTGACATGCTAACATTGGGATTTTTTTCCCCCCACCAAATCATACAAATTGGCCTTCTGTAACCCCATCCCCCACTTCAACCACCCCTTCCCAGACCCACCCACACACATACACACTCCCTGCCACAAACTCCTACCGACCATTTTCTGAATGGCATTACAAAGAATTTTGTTAAAGAAAAGTCAGACTAATTGCTGCCAGAAGACCCCGTCTCTCAGAGAAGTCTGGTTTTCATAAGTCAGATTCAGTAAGGGTTGTGGTTAAATCTAAGCCTAGTGGAAGGTTCTTAAGGTTTTTCTCGGCAAAGGAGGAAAGTACAAAGCAACACTAAGTTCAGCCAAAATACTCAGTGGGGAGGGAGGGGAAGAAGATGCAGTAGAAGGGAAATGCAAGAGAGTCCTCTGAACTCTTGTTTCCTTCTTGATTCCTTTCCTTGGATTCCTCGATTCCTTCTCCAAACTTACACTCACTGAGAGACTTTTCCTAAGCAGCTCTGGCTTCACAGAGTCCCAGACCAGTAATTTGATTCTCTTGACCTGGCACTAACTTCCAAGGGCTGGGACTTATACTAGAGGGTATAGCAAGAGATTTTTTTAGCCCCAAGATTCTCTGAGGCAACTCCCTGCTCCAGCATTCCTCTCAGACCTCCCGGTTGAGTTAGTGGCAAAAGTCCCCTTCACAAATGCACAGGTGGATTCGCCCCTTTCTAAGCCATGTCACTGCAGAACACAAGGCTTTCTGAGAGCTCGAAGGAGCAGTGCCAATGCAAGCTTCCCAGCCTTGTAACAGAGTTAGATATCAGTGGTCTGCGTTGAGTTTGGAGATATCAATATCTGTTTGAGTATTAATTTTGAAAAACCATCTAAGAATGGTCTCATTATTAATGGGCTAGTTTAATTTTAGGCTTTCCTCTTCAATGCTTTCCTCTATTCTGTTGTTCCTGGAATGCCAAGGATGGTTAGAAGTCCCCGGGAATTCATCAACTCCTCACAATGGGTCTCCCCACCCCCACCTTGTGTCAGGCAGCTCAAGAAGCTGAGCCAC